CAGTATCGTTTCAACACTCATATTCGTGATATGCATTGAAATCAATTCAATATATTTGTACTAATTATATAGACGCAAATATGTCGAAGTAAAATTAATTACCTCTTGAAGATCTGACAATTATTTACATGATATGATCTCTATTTTATATCATTTCTATATTACTTATATTATATTAAGAATATATATATATATATATATATATATATATATATATATATATACATATGCATCCTATCATAATCTTGTTAAGTGATAAAAAAATGAAGTAATTTTCAATAAAAAAATACTGGCACTGTTGCGTTAAACGATAGTATTTTTTAATCTATGAACTATTCTCTATATATAACACAAGTAATAAGAAATAACTAATAATAAAAAAAAAGCATTTTTGTAATTATATATTACTTAATATAAATACATACAAAGATTTATTTATTATATAAAAAATAATTAATAGTAAAATAGTCAATATTAAAAACTAATTAATAGCAAGAAAAAAAAGAAAACGAGTGATATATATATATATATATAAAATAATATAATATAATAATGTAAATATAAATAGGAAAAAAGAAGATATCGAATTAATTGTTTCATTTTTTGATAAGTATATAATTCTTTTGAAGTGTGAAAGAAAAAAAATGAATTTCATCGTTCGTTCCCTCATTTCCAGTTTATTTATTTTTTTGTTTTTATATTTATTCATTTTTTTTTTCTACATGAAAAAAAAAGCACAACATCGATTCGTGATACAACGAACGATCACACTAAGCTTCAAAGGTGCACAAATTATTATGAGGGCGCATGTATGTACAGCCGCGATAAACGTGAAAAATTTTTGTTCGATCGATTATGACTTTACCGCACCTAACCATCATCCCTCTATCCCTCCCCCACCCAACCTTTTTTTCCTCTCGATAAATTTTCACGAGAATTCTCTTTTCCGCGATCGGTCGCGGTCGTTCATCGGAAATTAAACCACGCACGAGTAATCGGGTCTCTTTTTTTCTTTTTCCTTTTTTCTGTTTTTTTTTCTCTTTTTTTTTCTTTATAAAAGTGTACACTTTATTAATTGGAACGGGGTTGATGCACAAAGTGCGGATAGAAAAGTGTTGCATAGGCTGTAACTTCGTCGTAGTTCGAGGAATAAAGTTAACCGTGCTTTTGATAATTTCGTTGAGCAGAAAGAAAAAAAAAAAGAAAAAAAAAAAAGAATAAATAAATCCTGAAAGCTCGGGATACATGTCTCTAATTTTTTTTCTTTCTTTTTTCTTTTTTTAAAAATTAGCACGATTCGATGCATAATCTCAAAGTATCTTTATTAAGAGACCCGAACGAATAAATATGTGTATAAAATCGAGGATGTTCGTGATAACTATGTGATTTATAGATATAAATATGAAGAAAAATTCGAGCGTGTTATAAAACGTGATTATATCGTATATATATATATGCATATAATATAATATATGTATACATGTATACGTATGTATATATATACATGTGGATAAAAAGATAGATAAATAAATGTACACACATATATATATGTATATATATATATTTATATATATGTATATGTATATATGCATGTACGTTATGTATGTATATAATATATAAAATAGAAGAAAAAAATAAACATGCAAAAGAGTAAAAATATGAAAAAAATCTAAACCATTTACATACCATCTTCTTTACACAAATCAACTGAAATATATCAGGAATCATTTAATCATCGTTGTTCCAGTTGTGACTACTGATCATATTTTAAATAATTAAAAAATTTTAAATAATTAAAAAGTTAATTTAATAAACTTTATCGCACGGTTAATGTTTTTAAATTTTGGCAGCAGATGCAACGAAAGAATAAATACGTAATAATAGTACGTGTCTCGTGGTACCCGTGTAGAAGAAAAAAGGAAAAAAAAAATATATATATATATATATAAAATCATGCCGTATCTATCGGCAAATATATGTACTTATATTCTCGTATTTTATTGGAGAAATGTGCCAGTTAATTGGATCTCACTCGATTCGTTAATGTTCATAAAATATATCGATGTTCTGCCGGATTTATTCAACGTTCTGCTATGTCTCTCATTGTTTATAACATAAGCTTTGATGATAGAGATTGTTGTTATTATTATTTGTTGTTATTATTGTTGATAATAGCAAAAAAAAAAAAAAAAAGAAAAAAAAAAAGAAAAAGGAAAAAGAAAGAAAGACTGATCTCACGAATGATCTCAATTTATGCGAACATTAAAGTCATCGTATCGTGCATCGTATTATCGTAATATCGTAATAGCTAATATCAAATTTAGTTTCATTTCGAACGTGGCAAACAGTTACGTATTATTTACAACGATGATAAGTTTTATCTCTTGGAAAAATAGAAACACGTTTGTTCGTGTGTTTAATTATAAAAAAAAAAAAAAAAAAACGAATTAAAACAAACGGATAATTAACTTTCTCAAGCAGCAATTATTTGTAAGAAAAAAAAAAGAAAAAAATAAAAACAAAGAAAAAAGGATGTTCGAAGAAACGTTAAGTCCATCCATCCATTTAATAAATTCTGATTATACTTGGTCGAGTCAAGTTAAAAATGACGAGCTGATAAAAGAATAATAATAATAATAAGAATAATAAGAATAATAATAAATAATAGTAATAGTAATAATTGACAATATAATCTCTCATCTATGACCAGTAGTATGATGAAGTATGCATATAATACATTCATCGATAGTATCTCAAATACTTTTGCATTCTGAAATAATGGGAATCGCAGCGATGTGCCCAAAAAAAAGAATGTTAAAAAAAAAAAAAAAAGAAAAAAAAAATTGAAAATAAAATAAAATAAAGTGAAATGAAATAAAATGAAATGAAATGAAATGAGAAAACGCAAAATTCAAAATATAAGTGATAACAAAGATCGCATATAAAAACTTGAGACCGGATTATGTAAACAAATTCATCGAATTCAAATACAATTAATTATGCACGACGACGAATCAAACGAGAAGTGCAATCTTTGTTAAAAAAAAACAAAAAAAAAGAAATTTAATAATAATAATAATAATAATAATAATAATAATAATAATAATAATAATAATAATAATAATAATAATAATAATAATAATAATAATAATAATAATAATAATAATAATAATAATAATAATAATAATAATAATAATAATAATAATAATAATAATAATAATAATAATAATAATAATAATAATAGTAATAATAAAAAAGAAAAAAAAAGAAGAAAAAAAATCTACGTGAAAATTTAAATAGTCCAATATACAAGCTTCCAAAAAGCACGTCTTCAATTGCATTAAAACATGGACATAATCAATAATTATAATAATAACGAGCAACACAATCAGGTCGAAATATATATCTACATATATATATATTTAACAAGTATATATGAATATGTATATACTTCGGTATCAAACGGCACATCGAAAAAACATTTAAAAAAAAAAAAGAAAAAAAAAAGAAAGAAAAAGAAAAGAAAAGAAAAGAAGAAGAACATACAGCAGAAATCCACATTCTCTGTTAGCATCCATCCACTGCCAAATTATCGTTGAACCAATCGAATCAAATCGAATCGGATCGGATCGGAACAAAACTGAATAGAAGGGATCGAATCGGATCGGATCGTAAAACGTACAATAAAAAGCTAAGAAAAAGAAAAATTCGTCCATCGAGATCGTCAATGTCCTTAATTTAATAAAAAGAAAAGTAAAAAAAGAAAAGAAAAAAGAAAACAGTGAAAAAAAGAAGAAAAAGAAAAAGACGAACGTATGATTAAATTTACGAAGAAATACAATAATATGATGATCAAGTATAAAATCGAGATATATTAAAACGACTGAAAAAATTTATTACTTTTGAAATGGCCTATTATTTATATTTCCACGATCCAATCAATCAATCAATCAATCAATCAATCAATCAATCAATCAATCAAATAATAATAATAGTAATAATAATAATAACAATAATTTAATAATAATAATAATAATAATAATAATAATAATAATAATAATAATAATAATAATAATAATAATAATAATAATAAAAATAAATGTTTGATAATCGCGCATTACGATGGGTCGATCGTACAACGTTCAAGAACATCGTTAAGCATCTAAGAACATCAACAGTCAACAGCTAGTATATAAGAGCTACTGACACTTCCTTCATAGGAACAAAGAAACTCGATAATATCCTCTTACCTTTCCCAATGGCGTCGATGGTTGTCCCGCTGGCGTTGGATCCTTTATATAAATGTTCCACGTAGCGACACTGTTTATTGCTTTATCGGCGGCATAACACCTCCACAGACACTGTATTAACATAGCCGCGGCCGGTATCTGTCGATTGAAGTGTTTCTGCCGTTGTTTTTGTTGAACTTTCAATGCGAAGCCGGAGCCAAGTATACCCTGGAAAACGTAATGGCGAATGAACGTAATCATTGGAATATTATAAAATATAAGAGATTATATTTATTTCGAAAAATTTTCTTCGTAATAAATCTATTATTGTATGTTTATATGTATTATTCTTGTTTCTCGATATTGTTATTATTATTTTTTTTTTTTTTTTTTTTAACTCACGGCTGGAAGTGCGAAGAAGGATATGGCGAACACGCTGAAACACGATGCCACGATTTTTCCCATCCAGGTTTGTGGGACAGTATCACCATAACCGATCGTGGTTACGGTGATCTAGAAAATAAAAAAAGAAACGGATTTTTAAAAGAAATTTCTCATTATCTATCTATCCATCTAACCATCTATCTATCCATTTGGCTATTTATCTGTCAATGTAGTAAATAATTTTTTTTAATTTATCTTCAAGATTTTTCATTATCAAAACGTTATTTAATTATTTTTAATTATCAAACAATCGTTATTTCTCTATAATTTAATTAGTTCTTTTTCCTACATTACAATGATATAGTGTGATGTCATAAAATGATGTTACATACACATACGTATACACATATACATACATACGTACATACATACATACATAACTATATATATATATATATATATTTATATATATATATTTATTTATTTATTTACATATATATATATATATTTATATATATATATTTATTTATTTATTTACATATATATATATATATATATTTATATATATATATTTATTTATTTATTTACATATATATATATATATATGATCTAAAATATTTCCGTTTTTTTTGTAATAATATGGAAAAATATTACAATGTATAAAATTTGAATGGTATGGAATAGAACATTATGCAATGTATATACTTTTTACGTGGGTGTAGACGTAAAAGAGATCATATTCGTCATCTCTTTCTTTTTCTTTTTTATATGGCTTGCTATATACATATTTTTTATGACCATATGATAGCCACTATTGTGGCGATTTCAGTACGCTGAGCATTAAACGTCATTCAAAGGATCAAATACAACGATAAAATACAATTTTTTTTTATATTAAAGAAGATGATGTCCTATGGTGCTGTTTGATCATTTGTGTCGATGCAAAGTTACAATTTTTTATTTTTTTATTTTAGGAATGCTGCAGTAATTCGTTGTCTTATATTTTTCGTTTTAATCGGTATTTCTTGATAGACCATATTTTTGAGTGCACCAAGGAAAAAGAAATCTAATGGGATTAAGTTTCGAGAACGTGCTAATCACGAAATTGGTTATTCACCTTTTATAAGTCAATTTGGATGAAGTATACAAAGTAACGTTCCTCTTGATTATTATGATTTACTTGTCTGAATGATCAATGGATAATGAGATACGCAATATTATACATTGCTATAATGCTTATATTGCTCTAAGTAATTATTACTATATAATGTAACCTTGTCTTTGCGTAAAAATAAGTTTTATTTATATAAAAGTGACAATTTCCTAGAATATATCCAATGATGATAACATTGCAGTTCCATGCATTCGAAAATAATAATGGTATGTTCCTATATATACATATAACAAATATATATATATATATTTTATATATTAGATATATATATATATATATATAATATTCCATTGAGCAATAAAAAAAGAAGAAGATAACATTGAAATCTTCTCTATGTCTAATACACCTACATAAAATCTATTTATGTTATATCTCCCTCCATGTCATTCAAGTTTCCTATAAAATAATTTTTCCCATATTTTTATAAATAATAGAAATATTTCGGATGGACAAAGTTTTCGTTCCATCTTGTATAATATAGAGGGTGTTGCGTTTATACCAGTAAATATCTTCGTTATTTATGATTTTATAAAAAAAATCCTTTGGACAAAGTGATACTACTTGAATAGATGTATATAGCTGACGGAACAATTTTTTTCAGATATCATTTTTTTTTTTTTTTTTTTTAAGAGATATCGAAGTGATTACTACTTTTTTTTTTTAATGGAATCATATACTTTTTATTACGTTGGTCAATCCATCTTGTAATTCTGTATAAAAAGGTATTAAACTATTTATATTAAAAAAAAAAAAAAAAAAAAAAAAAAAAAAAAAAAAAAAAAAAAAAAAATTAATTAGTTTAGATTAATTTAGTTAATAGATATTTTAATTATAATATTGCTAAGAGAAACCATGTACACATTTATTAAAATGTACTAGGTTATTAATTATATATGAGTTAATACTTTTTTTAATAGAGAATGTCAAGGTTTGCAATGACAAATGCATTAAAAAATATATATGATTCCATTAAGAAATAATTATTAACCTCGAAAAGTTTTAAAAGGAAAGAATATCTTTCAAAAAAAAAAAAAAAAAAAAAAAAAAAAATACCATAAACAACAGAGACATTTACTTGCTCCGATTTAAATGTTCCACCCTGTATATTTAATTTATACGAAATATAAATTATATTGAAATAAATCTGATATAAAGAGTGATAATTAATTTTGTTTCGATAAAATGAAAGGAAGGCTCAATGAAGTTCAGTTATAAAATTTGCATGACTTCAAAGTTATATGATTTTATAAAGAAATTAATATTTTTTAAATCGAATATCGTTATCATTATTATTATTATTATTATCATTATAATTTTTTCTTGTTTTCCTTTTTTTTTTTACATTATCCAATTACTTGAACATTATCGATTACAGATATTGCGTCATTCGTTTTGAAAGTCAACCGAGCGAGGATTAATTGGTACGCAGTATGTATTCGACACAGGTCCAAGCGTTATACAGTAACTATCAACAATATGATATAAAGGGATTTGGCTTGTTTCGTTCTAATGCATGATGACGTGACCACGAACAGAGATGCATTTCCCTTTCTGTCCTTTAACACACGCGAAAACGCGACATCCATCGTCTCTTCTACACGCTCGCGCAACAAATTTGAAATTTGAAATACGATAAGAAAAAAAAAATAATTAGAGAGATATAACTTATTTTTGAAGAGAAAATTTTTTTCTTATTTTGTTCGTACATCTTCCTATTTATAGATAGTATACCTCTTTTTCTTTTTTTATTATTTTTCAATACGATTAATTTTTCTGTTTTACTATAATTAATAGTACGTAATATAAAGATTATTGTTAGACAAAGTGCAGATAAAACATGTTATCTTTCAAATCTCAACATTTGTTTAAACTCTTTTTCTTGATATGTATGTATGTATGTATATATACTTTATAAAATTATTTTTAATACGATAACTTTTTTATTTTACTTTTATTATATTTAGATATATAAAAAATTTGTTGTTATATAAAGGGCAGGTCGAATTTTTTTTTTAATCTGAAATTTGTTGAAATTCTTTTATTTATTATTATTGTTATTTTAATTATTATTTTATTTATATATTAGAAACGTACCACACCCCACCAAAGTGCATCAGCGTAACTAGAAAAGTCTGTCTTTCCATCGGGCCCGACAGCATCTTTTTCGGCAAGGTACACGAAGTAACTGCTGAAAATAAGACCTAGGAACCCGATGTATAGCGTCGTGATCAGCTCCTGTAAAAGAAAAAAAGAGAAAAGAAAAAAATAAAAGAGAAAAAAGAAAAATAAAAAGATAGTTGAAATTCGAGAGAAAATCGAATCGATCTTTTCGTCCGTAAGACGGCGTTTCGAGTAATAAAGATAGAAATAGGAAAGAAAATCATTAAAATGCACGGAACGATTTATCTTTCTGCCGTTTTCTACCGAATCTCAATGGCGTCTCGTGTTTGTTCGCGAGATAGAAATAAATTAAGTTGAGGTTCCGCTTTTTCTTATCTCATTACACTTTCTTGCCAAGAGCAATTGCGACGGACAGGATAATTTATACGTGATATATTTTTTCTTTGTATATGCGCCAGTAAACATGTTCGAAAATGTTACGATCAAACTTGATGCACTATAGCAAAGATGATTGAAACAAACGAAAACATATTAATCAACTTATTTGTCTCTTCTCTCTCTCTCTTTCTCTCTCCTCCCTTTTCTCTCTTTTAATTAAGCCAATTAATTTTATTTCTTTTATAAATAATTCCTTTTCCTTTTTTCCTTTATATATATATATAAATCAATACTTTGCAACGAATTATGGTGAGAATTAATGGTTTATATAAAAAATAATTTGGTTACATAATTAAAATATACTTATATATTAATATTTGATGTAGTTTAACACGATTTTGATCATCTAATCGCTCTCGTTAAATCGGCTCCCGTATCATAAGATTATAGATCGTGATTTAATTTTCCCGTCGATCATAAATCGTCCACTTATAATTCAATCAATATACTTTTTTTTTTTTATATTAATAATTACTTCCTCCACTTGATCTGATCTTTCTTCATTGATTTTCATAATGAGCGACTTTAATCGGTCGTGATAAGCGAAAAAGATTTCTTGACAAGCGACTTTAGTTGGCCGCGATATGTGAGGAAAATTTCGTGGTAAGCGACTTTAGTTGACCGTAGTATGCGAGAAAGATTTCGTAGCGAGTGATTTTAGTCGACCGTGATATGCAAAAAAGATTTCGTGACGAGCGATTTTTGTCGGCCGTGATAACGAAAGGTTTAATGGACAACATAAAGTAAGTGTAACAATTTAGTACTTCGAATTAAATTACGAATTAAAAATGATTATGTAATTTTTCTATTACATTTCTACATATTTCTTTCTAATTCATAATTGTGCACATCTCAAAATAATTTCAAATTGTGCACTTGGGATGCATCACATCCTAGGCACTTTGAACAGCTGTCTGTTTATATAGAATAAATAATTTTGACACGAAAAAATACTATATATTTTTTGAAAGCTCGGGAATAAAAATCAAGTAGGGAATTATAATCATTTGAAAATTGTCAATTGTCAATTTTGTCACAAAAAGAATTCATAAATCATGCAATGCGTAAATTATTTAAATGTGCTCAAAGTCGGCCTGAGGTATTTTACATCCCGCAGACACAACTGTGATTAAATATCTTTTTAAACATTCACTTTATATTTAACTCTTACTCACTTGACGATGAATAAAGACAACTGATCCGAGAAGTCGCCACGTGCCACCTTGACGATCGACATGAAGCATTCGCAATATTTGCAAAAATCTTATTCCCCTTATGGCGGAAGTTGCGAAAACCTGACCGTTGCTGCCCACCGAAAGAACCACCATGGATGCCACCACAACGATTAAATCTGTGATATTAAAGGAAAAAATAAAGAAACGGAAAAAAAAACAGAATTAATAAAAAGAACCATCGTTAAAATTATTAAGAAGAAGAAGAAGAAGAAGAAGACGTACAATATTTAATTATAATATTATTTTCCATTAGATACCATTGTAAATTACCGTATTGCCATTAAAGGAGTACGAAATTCGATCAAATTTTCTTCATAGCATTCGCCCTAATAATTTCAAACGAGCAATCTCTCGAATCAATCGTAATAACTGGTTTCATTTTGATCTCAAAAATGAGTAAAAGAGAAAGACGGAGAGAAGAGTATGCAAATGGAGTTGATTCGTTTCCAAGATATTTCGAGTTAATTAATCAAAATCGTTGTATTATCGATCAATACGCACACGATGTACAAACAAACATGCACACAGTATATCCAATTAATATTCCACCTTGATTATTATTAGCCGTTTAACAAGTGAGAAGTATTCATTTTCCTCTTTAAATCCGAGACTGTTTCGTTTAGTTCAATGTACGTCATTGCTCTCTTTCTCTCTCTCTCTCTCTCTCTCTCTCTCTCTCTCGCTCTCTTCTTCCCCGTTCTCCATCATCAATCCCATCCAAACTATCTATCTCTCAGTTAATCCAGGAATAGTCTGAATATTTATTTAATCATTGACACAATTTCTTTTTCTGTGAATCGATTCGAAAAACGAATTGTTGATCGTTCGTAGAGCTTCAGGAAAAAAAAAAACAAAAAAAAAAGAAGGATAATCCAAAATCCAATCAAAAGCAAAATTTGGTAAAGTTCGTTAACGAGCTTGTTTTATCTCTCCGGATAGATCTCTTTTTCTTTGAATCTTAATCAGATTCCGAATTAAGCAAATTAAGGAACTTTCTTTCGTGATTTTGACAAAATAAAAAAAAAAAATAGGAAAGAAAGGAAAACAACGATGCATGTAATGCGTATACACAGAGAAATCTCGTGTACATCTATGTTAGATAACATAGTTAATTATCTCTTTGGCATTAACGTTGACTCGACCACTTAATCGTTTTCCCTAATTTCAACAGAGTAAATGAAAGAAGTAGACAGATAGATAGATAGATAGATAGATAGATAGATAGATAGATAGATAGATAGATAGATAAACATACAGGCAGACAGACAGACAGACAGACAGACAGACAGACAGACAGACAGACAGGTAGACAGAGAAAGAGAGAGAGAGAGGGAGAGAGAGAGAGAGAGAGAGAGAGAGAGGGAGAGACTGTTTCGTGGATTCTTGCTTCAAATTGATTTTCGACGTTCTGAGAATCGAACTCCTACATTTCTCTGAATGAAGATCTCATTACGTCGAACTTACTTATGTACGACAGGGAACATATCAGATTAGTTGAATGCTATGCTAACGACTCGATTCGAACGACAATGCGTCAATGCGACGATGCTTGTCCTGAAAGAGACAGATAGACAGAGAGAAAGAGAGAGAGAGAGAGAGAGAAAGAGAGAGAGAGAGAGAGAGAGAGAGAAAGAGAGAGAGAAAGAGAGAGAGAGAGAGAGAGAGAGAAAGAGAGAAAGAGAGAGAGAGAGAGAGAGAGATTTGAATGTAAGTGAGACGAATAGAAGATAGAGACCGACAGAGAATTCATTTACGTTTAGTACTCACCTATAATACAAATCGGCTTTCGTATGAATCGCAACCGCCCGCAGCATCCCATGTATTTTGATCTGCAACCCGCACTCCATAGACGGACCAAGTATTCCACACCAAAGAACACCACCAAACATATTTCCTAATAAAGAAATAATTAATAATATTCGGTATGATAATTTTAAGCCATTTTTCATAATAACCTAATGTAAATATTAGATCTAACGAAAAGTTTTTAACACTGAATGAATTTAAAGTTTTTAATAGAGAATGAGTTATTTACTTTCTTTCTTTCTTCCTTTTTTTTCTTTTTTCTTTTTTTTTTTTTTTTATTTTTTTCTTTCTGCTTTCTTTTTTCACCCCTCATAAATAAATTCAAAAGGTTCTATATATAAGCGAGTATAAGTTGGTCATATTTTTCTTTTCCTTTTTCTTTTTTTTTTTTTTCTAATGGAAATTATTATATATTTGGTAATTAAATATTAATAAACACTATAGAAATTTATCATTAATCTTTTTCCATTTATACTACGAAGAGGACTTGTTGGTAGATTTAATTTTAGATAAAAAAAAAAAAGTACGATGAATACATATTAAAATTTTCATCTATTAAAATTATAAATAAATCTCGTTATGCTCTATATCGAAGAATAATAAATCATTGGATAGAAATATTATCGAAGATAATAAACAAATATTAGTTAACAGATAATAATTAATTTTGAAAGAAATAATTATTTATAAAATAATGATAGTCTAAGAGTGATTATAAAACGAATCTAGGACGTTTATGGAATTCGAATCTATAAAATATACGATTAATTATATATCAAGTATATTTAATTATTTCATTTAAGATATTATAATTTGATATAAATTGTTATAAATAAAATTACGGGAAATAATGAAAACGCATGGAATTGATCTGTCGAACTTAAATACATGTAATTTATATTATCATAAAAACGTATATAATTTTTATTCTCTCAAATGTATATTAAAAGTACTGATTAAAGACAGATTGAAAATATAATGTTAAAAAAGAAAAAATTCATTGTGTTTTTTATTTATTATATATTTATAACCTTCTCTCCTTTCATTAATATCTTTTATTATTTGTATATCATACAGTGATTATCGCCTAGCGTGACAATTTGAAAAATTGAAAAGAATCTGTTTTAAATAACGCTCTCGTCCATTAGCCAGTCATTAAATTCATATATGGAACATGGCATATAAAATAAGAAAGATCCATCGAGGAAATTTCTCTTTTAAATATTGCAACTCAATTACGACGGATTGATATTAAAGTAGGTGAACCTTGGCCGATTTCCTTTAAAAAGAGGAAGAAAAAAAAAAGAAGAAGAAGAAGAAAAGGAAAAGCATGCGAATTTATGGATAATAATTAGCTCGGTAAAATGATAATATACTTGAAGTTTTTTACTTTAAAATGATAATATACTCGGGTTTTTTTTCTTTTTTTATTATTTTAAAATGATATACTCAAAGTTTCTTTATTTTAAAATGATAATATACTCGTATTCGAAGATTAATTATTACATTTATTAACTTACCATCCAAAACAAAGTTTCGTTCGCGAAGTTACTGTATTGATCTATCGTTGACAATACACTAAATATGAGGCACACCAATACCACCATGAACCTGAAACAAAGTTGTTGTTTTTTACTTTATTTTTTTTTTTTTGTTTTGTTTACTTTTTCTCTTTTTTTATTCAACGCATGATAGCTATATACGCGATAAAAACAATTTTTATACGAATTTATTCAAGCGAATTTATTTTTATTCCCTACGAAAATATGTAATTTAGCCAATGAAATTCAATAAATATTTTTCGAAAATATACGTGTAACATGATTTCTACGATATAAATATTCCAACCTGTAATTATAATTAGAGAAAAATATTTTTGCTGTGATAAAGAAGAAAATATATATATGTATGTGTGTGTGTGTGTGTGTGTATATATGTGTAGGTATATAAGTAGATATTTTACGGTTTTCTATTATAACCATGAATCTATATAAAGTTAAAATTTATTAATGATTATAAATAAACGTTTAATTCTTAATTATCATCAGAATCAATAAATTCGTTCTTTGAAGGAACATAAAGAGAGATACACAAATATGCAAATCAATTGCAAAGAATTAATGCTAATATTGTCTAATGGATAATATATGTTGAAACGCTTAGACAGAACAAAAACGTGAGAATAGTATATGACTGTTCAAGCATACAGACACACAGACACATTATAGAGAACATAGATAAATAGATAATCGCAAGAATATATCGTTAACGACTTTCTTTATTCCGATCTGTACCGTTCAACGATAACATACTTCTTATCGTTTCAACGGTTAAATAATAAATCCTATTTTGTAACCATATCGAAGCAGTTAGGGAAAGTGTATTTCAAATACATATATACATATCCACATATATGGATGGATATATAGTATATAGTCGCAATTTGCATATATCCAATTTGTATAATTGAACGTTCCATGGTAGGTTGCACATGCGATGTGTTTAAATGTCCGACTATATCTAACGCGACGATGTTCATTCAGAGAATAAGAGAATAATATGCGAAAGAATAATAATAATTGGCTCTATTATATCTTTCGTGTCTTTATCATCGAAGGACATACAGTAAGTAAAGACGTCATTAAACGGATATGACATTGTAACGATTTAAACTAATCGAATTTTCTTTTTTCTTTTTTTTTTTTTTTCTTTTTTTCTTTTTCTTTTGTATTCTATTAATATCTCCAATTTCAATAATACATTCATTTAAATTATCAATTTTATTTATTTGATAAATATTTTTATTTATAAATGGTATGTATTTTGTAAAATACATGTTCAGTAGATATATACATACATATATATATCTGTGTATGTTTATAAATATCTTGATCAGTATAAATAATTAAATATGTTATATATAATGTTATAGTGTTATATGTAGAGTCACATATATTACGTATTGATATTTTATTATAAATATTGATTATTTATTTAAAATATCATATCAAATGTTTAAAAATACTAACCGAATAAATACGAGCTTTAAATTATTACATCGAAATTCGAACTAATAATATAGTTGTAACAATCATCGTGGAATTGTGTGCGATCGTTTTCATGTTACTCTTAAACTTTAAAAGCGTTTTTCTTGATATCACATTACTCTAATCTAAGCGTATATCTCAATGAATTTATATCTGTCTGACTTGATATACTTTTTCTTTTTTTTTTTTTTCTTTTTTTTTTACAGAATTTTTCATACGAGATTATCTTCATTTGTACGTAGAACTATTTCGATGGAAAAAAAAGAGAAAGGAAAGAAATAAAGGAATTAATTTTTACAGAAGGATTAAAAGGATATAACGTTTCCCGTTATAATTCTCTATAATTCTTTTCTTCGGAATTGCTCTAATTTGTAAAAAAGAAAAAAACAGAAAAAAGAAAACTCAACTTGTATACCGATACTACATTTGCATAATTTTAAGATAGTACAAGAAATGTTCGATTCAACAATTCGAAATTGATTACCCAAATAATAAAATTCGTTGCAATTTACAAAAGTAACTTTTTATTATGATATATATATATATATATTTTTTAGACAAACATTTAGAAAGAAAAAAAATAGTTTTTTGTCGATTCCATGACAATAGTTTCCTTGTTTGAAACGAATTTTAATGCACAAAAAAAAAGAATTTTCCAAGAAATTTCAACATTGCAAATTGACATTCAATTTTTTTATACAATTAATTTAAGATATCATAGGAACATTTGATTCAATAGTTCGATATTGATTACTCAAACAGTAAAGTTCACTGTAGTTTACAAAACTATCATTTTATTATGATATATATATATATTTTGTATAAACATTTATATAGGAAAAAAGTAACCTTTTGTTTACTATAATGATTGTTACAACAATCATTTCCTTCTTTGATACAAATTTTAATATATATATATAAAAAGAGAAAATAGAACTAATTCCAAACGATAATCCAATAAATAATAAAAATATATGACAAAACATCGAGCGATTTAATTAATTATAAAAAATAAGAAAAAATTACATAAATGCTTTCTTCAAAATTCTTTTCCATCTGTTTCGAAAATGATCACCGTATAAACGAATAATACTTCCTCTTTCGTTCGACGTAATTTTTAACTTTCCTATGATATTATCTATATGTATATATACATATATATATATATATATATATATATATATATATATATATACGTACAATGTGTAGATAAGTATTTATATACATACACGAGCTTCAAAGAGCCATTAGCCGGGGTAGAAGGAAGAAGAAGAAGAAGAAGAAAAAAAAAGGAAAGCCGTCGTTCGTACTTATCGATTCCTTTTCCCTAGATATCGCAAAACATAACGTTTGTATTTTAGCTGGTAGTATGGTTACTCTACTACTGACAAGAATAACATCGTATTCACAACTACGCATATTGTCTATTGATCAAGGTTACGAACGTCCTCTGTGCATAGCGTATAAAAATATCCTTTGAAACTTGCTAAAGAGAGAGAGAAAAATAGAGAAAAAGAGAGAGAGAGAGAGAGAGAGAGAGAAAAAAAGACACAGAAGGAGATAAGGAAAGAGTGAGCGGGAGAGTGAGAAGGAGAGGAAAAGGTAGGTGGAGAGAGAGAGAGAGAGAGAGAGAGAGAGAGAGAGAGAGAGAGAAAGAAAAGTTCAAACAATGCGTTCCTCCATTCATACTTATGCGAATGTATAGAGATATACCTACATATTTTGTTAAAACACAACGTGACTACGAACAACGATAAAGATCGTGTTTTAATGCCGCATGCGGAAAGTTTACTTTTGGAAAGGCCACAGCTAGCGCATGACAGTGCATATAAGTACAATGTTATTTTCACGCTAAAGAGAAACTGTCAAACAAGGACGAAGTGTGACGAGGAAGGATAACAATAACTTTGCAAGAAAACGAAGACCAAGTTATAAACTTTAATGCGATCTTATCGATCATAATAAAAAGTTTAATCCGATTAATCTCCCGATAAATTTTCAATCGATTTGATAGTAATCGTTCCATATATTTTGAATTATTCTTGATATTTTATATATACATATATTTCTCTCTCTCTCTCTCTCTCTCTCACACTCTCTCCTTCTTTCTATGTGTATGTGTGTAGATATTAAGATAATATTTTGATAATTTCTATAGCATTTAAAAATTTCTTTTAAATATTTTTTTGTAAATTAGATATTTTCTAATTAAAGTCTAATCAAGAAATTTCAAATTATTGATTAATCTAAATGCTTCACATATTAAATCGAAATTAAAATAATGTTCGTTTTAGTTACTATGAAATCATTTTGTTTATTAATAATATTTATTTCATTTCTCAACTTGTGCTTCACGAAAAATATGTAAATGATGTCAAAGAAGCTTAAAACAAAAAAGTAATAAATAATAATAATAATAATAATAATAATAATAATAATAATAATAATAATAATAATAATAATAATAATAATAATAATAATAATAATAATAATAATAATAATAATAATAATAATAATAATAATAATAATAATAATAATAATAATAATAATAATAATAATAATAATAATAATAATAATAATAATAATAATAATAATAATAATAATAATAATAATAATAATAATAATAATAATAATAATAATAATAACGGTAATAGTAATAATTAAATTTATACTTCACTAAATGAAGGTCGATTCTCAAAGCAACTGCCAAAATAATTAATTGTTAAATAAAGTATTTAACGATAACGAGAGAATATCTATTCAAAATAATTCACAACTTATATTATGTGAGACGTGAAATAAAATAATTATAATGATTAAATCCATACGATAGAAAGTAGGTAAAATTAATCATCTGACACTAATCTGATGACCTACGAACAAACATGATCGACTAACTAATCAACAACTTCATAAAATACCAAGTACATCAAATTAATGATGTCGGTACTGATCAATGAAGTAGAACGATTATTCTAATTAACTTCATAATGTATCTACTAATAATAAAGAAAGTAATAACTTCCAACACTGAACATGCAGTTTTCTGTTAAATTTTAGAAAAAATTTACGAAAAATAAAACGACTCGAAATATAAAGACTATTTGAAAAGTTCGTGATTTTTCCTTTTTTTTTCTTTTTTTTTACTTTTCATTTTAAGATTCGTTTAACAATGAAATTTATATATTACAGAAAAAAAAATTCCATATTTTGAAACGAACCTAACAACTTTTAAGATACAATTATTGATCGTTATTGATAAAATAAAAGAAAATAAAAGGAAAAAAGAAGATCTTTAAATCTCTATAAAAATAAATATACATATGTATATATATATACATTAGGTCTATCGAAAAGTTTTGTTTGTTTAATTGTTCTTTTATTTAAAAATTATTTTAAAAAATCAGTTTTACTCGAAAACAATTAAACAAAGAAATAAATTATTTGGAAATAATAGAAAACAATTGTGAAGCAAAAATTAATTTTTATTTCCAAATAATTGAAAATAATTCGAAAAAATATATTATTAAAAATAATATATATATTATTAAATATATACATTAG